ATTGAGTACGTGTTTTTTTATTCTATACATGTATTTGTAAGAAAATAAATACGATTCATGTGTATCCAGTATGCATTTCATTGATATAAACTTAACAGAGAAAAAAAAAGAAATTTATTATCAATTTGAAGACTTGATTTTCTATCATTTAATGATCCCCGATAAGAGTCATTTTGAAAATTCAATATGCAATATTAATGCAATCAGTATTTTACTGATGTTAAAATCTCATAAATGGATTTAAAAGACAAGTCAAGATAAAAACCAACTGAGCGAGTCGCATGAACAATTAAAAGAGTAAAACCGTGTGCGTCGACAGGCTAAGCGTCTGCTGCTTGCATTAAGGGAAGTACAACTTTCATTCAAGAAAAGCTGGTATGTTTATGATAATTTCTATTATTATGTTCGAACGTGAACAATGATGGATAATCCATTTCAACTATAATGTAATAGAGAATACTTTATATTTCAGATGACAAAAATGGCTTTTTTAGTTTAACTTAAAAATGAGAAAACAATAACGTTTCTTGACAAGAACTTGACCAAGTTGACAAATGGTATCGCTTATAATTTAAAGATGTCAACAATTACGTTTACTATAACACTTAAAATACTTGAACCAGCAGCTGAATTGAACAAGTCGTGTTTAACGGGTGGTTTTCAATCGTTACTTATGTAAGAAGATAACTCGAGTGGAAAACAACTGTCATATTCCTGACTTGTTGATTGCACCTCGTGGCATCTTCACCATCTTTTTTAAAACATTCGAACCTCACTATAAACTAAGTACTAAACATATGCAAAGTTTTTATAAAACGAAGATGTGGTATGATTGTCAATGAGACAACTCTCCACAAGAGACCAAATGACACAGAAATTAACATCTATAGGTCACCATACGGCCTTCAACAATGAGCAAATCCCATACCTCATAGTCAGCTATAAAAGGCCCCGAAATGACAAATGTAAAACAATTCAAACGAGAAAACTAACGACCTAATTTATGTACAAAATAATGAACGAAAAACAAATATGTAGCACAGAAACAAACGACAACCACTGAATTACAAGTTCCTGACTTGGGAAAGGCACATACAGAGTGTGTCTGGTTAAAATAGTTTGAAGGCGCCAACCCTCCCCTAACCTGGGACAGTGGTGTAACAGTACAACATAAGAACAAACTATAAAAATCAGTTGAAAAAGGCTTAACGCATCAGATGGATACAAATAGAAATACATATTACAAAAAAAAACAGAGTGGATGTGGACGGGTACTCATACATCCCCATAACAAAAAGACACTAAGTACAGATCTGAGAGTACTCGCAGTTACTGACAGCTTGTTCAAAGTCAATAACAACTAATAAAAAAAATCATGCATCTAAGACTTAATTTCAATCAGTACTCATCCAACATCCAATGGATTTAGTGTTAAGACGTCATAAACAGTCAGAGAAACACATGACCTTGTGCAATGCCAAGATACAGGTATCGACAGATTGTAGAGCCATGAATGTACATATGTATATAACAATAAAATTTAGTTTCATTTTAATTTACTAATAACAAAATCAATATAAGTACCAATAAAAACAATATTCAAAGTTCTAATTCCAGTGTTGAATTGCTAACCTTTTAGAATAAGTTTATATAAAGGATCGATAAATTTACTCGGATTGTTTCTAAATTTCCGGGCTCGGTAAACAAATCTCCGTTAAAATGAGGATGTGTTATCCCGTTTGAAATAAGTTTTCTACAGGAACCACCAAACTTCAAAACCAAATCTTTATATCTATGGAATAATTTAGTAAAGTTTAATTAATTTTTCTGGTAACGAAATCCCTGACTTAATAATTTACGAGTAATATATAGATTACGTTCATCGAAATCTAAAACGTCACAACAGACACGGGCATAGCGAACGAGTTGTGATTTATAAACATCATAAGATGGTGCCACAGGAACATCACCGTCCAAAAAAGGAAAAATAACATTAGGGAACGAACAATCGTCTCTTTTGTCGTAAATTTTAATATAGAGTTTACCGTGTAAAACTAAAATATATAAACCTAGGAAAGGACAGTTATTACCGTTTATATTTGATTTTTTTAAAGTAAGTTCCTTTGAGTAAATTTCGGCAGAATATTTAGAAAATTCTTGATTATTTAACGAAAAAATATCTTCAAGATAACGGTGAGGGTTGTCGAATTTATCAATTAAATGAAATTGATACGGGTCTTTACTGAGTTTGGTCATAAACTGTGATTCATAACAGTACAAGAACAAGTCTGCTGTTAAAGGGGCGCAATTGGTGCACATAGGAATACTTAAAACCTGTCGATAAACTTTATTGCCGAAACGTACATAAATATTATCAAGGAGAACATTAATAGATTTAATTATCTCTTCACACCTCCAGTAAGTATATCTAGCATATATCCTTTCTCATAGAGAATATATATTTGCATTCAGATTTACCAAACGACCATTTAATTAAATAGGAAAACTTTTGTTTGATAAGATTGTGTGGAAGTGTAGTGTTAAGAGTTGAAAAGTCAAAACTATCAACAGAATTAAAAGGACCATCAAAAGCACGTAATTTATCTAATTCATCCAAAGAATTTTTTACACTCCAATAATAGTTAATTCCACTATTTTCATATATTTTATTACAAAAGTTAATGATAAGTTCTTTGGTAGTAGTTAAGGAACTAATTAAAAGCACTGAAAGATTAGTTGTAGAACACTTACTAGAGGCCGAAATGAAACGATATTTGACTGTGTTTTTTTTTTTTTGTGTAGTTTAGATAACCAATATATAGTAGAGACCTTCAAATGTTCAGAAGAGGCCTTATTGTTGCACTTTGTAAATACACGCCTCTTTTGGGAGATATATGATATTGATAGATATTTCGTTTTGTTTACGTACTGGTTCCAAGATATGATCTCTATGTTTCATCTCATAGAGACATAAGTTTGGAATGTTATCAGTATAAAAACATATTGTTGAGGTGAAAATTGAATTCTGAAGTAGGCACAAAGTGAATGTGGGGTAATACAGGACTTAAGTATAAGTTTATACTCTTACAAGTTCGGGGCATATAAATGTTGAAAATATGCCGCACAACCCTATGTTTTGACCTTTTAATTAAATAGTAGTGCATATCAACTTTCCATTCTAGGATATAATTTTTTGATGAAACTTCATAGTAAAAGTGGCACAGTGTTAGCCCTAAAGGGACTTCCAATGGGAAATTGTATTGTCTATATTTACAAAAATGCAACCTTAAGCTGTGATGTGGTTATGATATGTTTGTTTACTATAATGGCTCTCTGTGGAGCGCATGGACTTGGATGTAGTTGAATTTTATAATTTCATTCTTTAGAACGTCCGTGTAGTATTTACGGCATAAAACCACCACCACATTGTTGGCTCCTTTGTCGGCCGGTACAAACACAAACTGCTTCGAAAGTACTTGAAGTTTGTTTCTTATTCTTTATTTCTAACTGATTATATTTGAAAAATGAAAAACGATCAATTTTCAAATTAATGAACTCATCTCATTCAAATATGATTAATTGATCTAGGAAAAAAATCATGATGTTTAGTAACAAGGTTTAGTTTAGTTTCAATTTGCAATGCAGTGGGTCTAATGAAGCCACTCGTGTTTTCTTGTTTGAATAGATTAATATTATGATATACATCTATCAAACTAATCACATTTACAAGCCATTAGTTCATGAGATAGTTGTATTACTAGTTATGCACTTTATTCAACACATTTGATCCATTTAGCCTTCGACATATTCAATCATCTTGAAAAAATATTCTGTACTGCAAAATGACTCTCATTTGAAGATGTAACTATGAGCGCATATCTTACACGATTAGCCTTTAACACAGTTTGTCTTTTAGAAAGATACTAACTTGGGTAAAGTATATTTTGCTGTGAGGCACATATCAGATACAGCAAAAAATATAAATATGTTCAAACAGGCATGTTCATGTTATATTATGGTAATTAACATACTTGTGAAGTCAGAGTTATATCACACCTGTCATGTCTGTACGAAATTGATGATATTATTGTCATCATTATATTTATTATCAATATACGAATATATTATAAAGTTTTACATATTTTTGAAAGAACGGTGAAATGAATTAATTTTGCCATTTCATATATGTTTTTCGTTTATTGTTTTATACATTAATCAGTCCATTAGTTGGTGTTGTTTTTTTTTTTTTTTTTTTTTTGTCTTTTGAACTGTTCCTATTTTTCATTAGGGACCTTTTATAGCCTGACATGCGGTAGGGGTTTTGCTCATTGTTTGAAGGACTTAGGGTGACACATACTTGCTTACGTCTACGTCATTTGATCTCTAGTGGAGAGTTGTATAATTTGCAATCATACCTAATTTGCCTATTTTTATATCAAAAATGATACCGAATCATACCTTACTCTTTCACATGAAATATTTCCCTTAACTTCAAAAAGTAATAAAATAAACAAATAAATGACCATCTTTTTTTTCATTTGAGGTAAATCGACCCAGTTAAAAAAAAATGAGTACTGGATTTGTTATGTTCTTGGAAATTTGCTGTATACATGCAGTGACATAATTCGGAGTTATTAATACAAATCATGAAAATAGAATAGAAAAAACTTTTGATTCACAAACAGAGGAAAAGGCAAGAACTTTTCACCACAGCCGAATTTTCTCTTGTAAGTCAAAGTTGAACCTCCCATTAATGAAACTACACCAACCGAATCTACTATGAACTGAAAAATTACTTGTCAATGATTTCTTTTAATGACACAATAATATACACACTATGTTAATAGATAAGGTAGCTGATTATATGATTTGTTCTATTGGATTGATTCAAGTATTAGAGACATGATGTGGAATAACGGTCTCTGCAATACTATTGTATAATGTATATAACGTAATATTGTATAATTTGTGTTAGTAACTCTTGGTAAATAAGACTTAAAATGGACTTTTCCGACTTTGATAGTGTTAAGCAACATTACGATTTAACTGAAGAGGAAATTGCAGAAATATTTCAAAATTTACAAAACAAAACAAAAATATTATCCGTATCTTCTGATGCTGTTGCTTTCTTGGCAATTCTGTATGGACTTATTTCAATTATTGCTGTGTTAGGAAATGGCTTAGTGATATTAGTGGTGCTCACAAAAAAGAATATGCAAACTTTGACTAACATATTCATTGCCAATTTGGCATGTTCAGATGTTGCCTTAGGAACATTTGTTATACCATTTCAGTTCCAAACAGCGATTTTGCAGCGTTGGGTTGTTGCTGATTTTATGTGTAATGTGGCACCTTTTGTTAAAAATTTGTCCGTGAATGTCAGTGTTTTATCATTAACTTTAATTGCCATTGATAGGTATTTGGCCGTCCTACATCCACTTCATGCCGGTTTTCGGAAACGAGTAGCAATGGTCGTGTTATTAATAATTTGGCTTGTTAGTACAATATCAGCTTTACCAGATGCATTATATTATAAAATTGAAAATATGTTTAAAATAATGGAAATAGAGGAGACAAAAAAGTGCGTTGTGAAATGGCCATCAGAAGATTTCCGTATGTTCTACTGTGTATACTTGATTCTACTTCAATATCTGGTTCCATTAAGTATAATAACATTCTCATATATTCGTATTACGTGTCGTGTATGGGGCAGTAGACCTCCAGGAAACGAAACGTGCGTACAAAGAGGTACAGCAAGGAACAACAATAAGAAAAAGGTAGGCAAACAGTATAGGGTAATCAAACAGTATAGGGTAGGCAAACACTACAGGGTAGGCGAAAAAGAGCAAAATCGGAAATATTTTCTAAAACATGAATTTGTTTAAGATTAATCTTAGTTAAGATGGTACATTACACTACAGGGAGATAACTCTGTAAAAATCTGCTGAATATTTTAATCACGTTTTATTGTTAAGGAAATATTAAGTTTCTCAATGATCAAAAGTAGTGTTTGTCAAACTGATATATATCCAATGAAATTTTTCCGATAAAGCGTGTGGTTCAAGTTTTTTGAAATTTTTATACTTTTGTCAAAGGGTCAAAGTAAATATTGTGTCAAAATTTCATGAAAATTTAAACGAGCCAAATTAATTTCAGTCAAGGTGTTTAGTGCCACCTTAACTGCTATAAAATTTTAACCTCTGTCTAGAATGAATCTTCAGAAAACAAGGTACGTGTCTTGTATACAACTTCGAATATATTTGAACGATCAATTATTGTGAAATATTCAATATTACTAAACCCCGATTGCAGCATGTTGACATAACTTTTGTATAAATTTATCAAATTCAGTCGTAAACCAGTTTCCGATGAATATTTCAATACATACAGTTGAGTGCATTACATAAAGTAAACACACATTAACGCCGCGAGTACATATTTCGTTTGTTCACTTCAATTTTCGAGTTTACTAGGAAATGCGCATTCACTATTATTACAGTAACGCGGTTAACATGGAAATTTCTAATGTCTATCCGAGTAAACGCGCGTATATGACAGTCATTCATAGTACCATGGAATTGAAAAAAACTGTAAAAGAAAAAAAAAAGTAGCATGCATATATACTCATTGTTCAAGTTATGAAAAACTTTATTTTATTCAGTCTGTAAATAAGCAAATATTAGAGTACGTTCATTTCGATTTCATGTAAATTTATAAGTTTAAGTAGATACACTGATTTATGTCGTGAAGGCCGAACCCATATATTCCAGCAACGAATATTACACGCACATGCACATACACGTTTGTTTACATGAAAATCTGACTGCTACAAACATGACAAACGTATACATGTATGTTCAGGCGTATATATATTTACAATAGCTTCCACAGTTGACCAAATGGACGCGTTATTACAATTGTGTACATGTTATTCTTGCACAATAAAACAAAACAGCAGCGATATGTTTCAAAGGGAGATATTTGCAAAGTCGAGGAGCAATGGTGGTAAGGGAAGATCTCCGCTTTGTGCAAAAATAAATAAAATGACCCGATCGTGTCCAAATTTATTCAATAAGTGTCCCTTTTCTTCTTCGGAGGGGACGCAAAAATACGATAGTAAGTCAATAAAATGTCTTTTCGAAAAGAGGGATGAAAGATACCAGAGGGACAGTCAAACTCATAGATCGAAAACAAACTGACAACGCCATGGCCAAAAATAAAAAAGACAAACAGACAAATTATAGTACAGATGACACAACATAGAAAACTAAAGACTAAGCAACACGAACCCAAACACTGGGGGTGATCTCAGATACTCCGGAAGGGTAAGCAGATCCTGCTCCACATGTGGCACCCGTCGTGTTGCTTATGTTATTACAAATCCGGTAAATAGTCTAATTCGGTAGGTCACATTCGTGAAAAGGGAAGGGTATTGTAGTTACGACATAAAGAACATATCCGATATCATCTGTGAAACGGTTATTCCATAACGGTCAACCAACTCGTGGTGGCGTCCGTAAAATTTACAAAGGGGTGATTTCAACTTCACCATTTTGAACTCTTGGTTTAATAGCTTCCTTGTGAGCAGCAATCCTCTATCAAGGAAATCATGATAGGAAATACAAGCCCGGGAATATCGTATCAATTGGGAGATATATACCTCGTATGCAGGCGCTGCTGAAATGTTGCTACATAGAAATGGAAAGTTCTCAATTGGGAAGCTGAAATCATCTCTTTTGTCGTAAAGTTTTGTTTTAAACAGACCCTCATTGTCAATTTCTAGATGTAAGTCAAGATATGAGGCAGACTTAACTGTATCTGTAGTATCCTTTATCTCTAGTTCGATGGGACAGATTCGTTCAACATAGTCACCAAATTTTGTATTATTTAGTGAGAGAACATCAACTATATAGCGGAACGTACAGTTAAAGGATATTGCTAGCTTCTTATCTTTCTTCCTAAGAAGTTCCTGTATGAAGTCAGCCTCATTATAATAAAGAAACACGTCGGCAAGAAGAGGGGCAAAATTGGTTTACATTGGAATTCCGACAGTCTGTAGAAAAACACGTCCTCCAAACGTAACAAATATGTTGTCAATCAAGAAATCAAGCATCTTGATAATGTCAGTTTCAGAGAATTTTTTGTTTAAATCGGAGTGATTCTTTACAAAGTAGGATATATCCCTCCCCAGGACAAGATACTTGTATCAACGTTCGCCATTCTTTTTAATGAAACAAAGTAATACCAACCCTTTCAATTTGTCTTTTAGTTTGGAATGGGGAATACATGTGTAAAGTGTAGAAAAGTCAAATTTTTTAATACTATTGCAAGATGAGAGAGTCTAAGATTGTATGTACTCTAAAAGATCTTTGGAATTGTTTAGTATCCACATCTGATTCAAGTGTCTAGCGCTTTTGTACATCTGAAGGGATTAGCTAAGACTGACAAGTTTTTTTTTCATGCATATCTACACAATGTAATTCGGTGCATGTGAATAATGCAGCTAACATTCTTTTAAACGTTTATCCTGCATGTACTGCTGAAGCTGCTAATCAAGGCTCCCTCGGTTTTTGGTGAAGTAAAAAATTACATGAGCTCAATATTATAAACGATTATTTGTTCTAATAATTATTTTCTATTCTCAGAGATTGTATTTAAATTGCATTATAATTTACATAGATTTCGTGATTTAAGTCTTGAAAATAGAAGGCCGTACGGGTAATCATAGAAGTGTGTTGTTTGCATCCACAGCAGTCAGTCTTAGATTGATAGTTGTCTCATTGGCAATCACAAATATATTTTTATATATATATATAGATCCGTCTAAACATTTTATGGAGACACTTACTGCTAGTTGCATTAATTGAGAAGTTACTGAACATTTATATAATGACTGTACTTGTAATGTCTAAAAAGTACTTTATTGAACACATAGAAAATGTTTTTCAATACTCATTGATCTTATTCCCTCTTTTATTCCATAAGCAAGGGAGGACATACAAATCAAGATAAGAACCAAAAATCTGAAGTTATTGCATGATATTAAAAGGACCGAAATAATTAATAAAATTATGAACATATTTTGACTGTAAACTAGAAATTGCTATCGTTGTAACACTTAATAACGCTTTTCAATGATACAATGTTTCTAAAATGCGCTATATTTCTAAAGGTTCAGAGTTTCTTCAGTCACAGTTTTAACACAGGAATAATGACAAGATAGCACAATAATTGCTTTTATTCCCTATAAAGTAACTTGCTAGTTACATTTCCGATAGAATCAGTTGAGTGTTCATAAACATCATAAAGGGGCATACGGGTTTCCCACAATCATGTATTCAAATACACCATACAGGACAATATGATTTGCCGCAAAAGTTAAATCTGTTTGCGTAAATGTAAGCTGTCATGTATTTAGATCTTTTCAAATAAAATGTCCTTTTCTACATAAGGAAAGGCCTGCTCCAAGTCAGAAATATGACAGTTGTTTTCCATTTATTTGATGTGTTTGAGCATTTGAATTTGCCATTTGATAAGGGACTTTCCATTTTGAACAATGTTGAATTTTCCTTGGTATTTTTGTTATTTTACTTTTTGTTATGTTTTCATTATAGAAATCTGATTTTTAAATGTTTTTTCACGCATATCATTACCCAACACCTTGTTTATTTTTGTTTTTTGTAATTTATGAAATACTATATTTTTCATAAAGAGTAAAAAAAGATTAACACTTTACATGGAAAATACAAACACCAAGTTGTTTTGTGAACATCGATAATGATGACATAAATAAAATGCCTTATAGCATATATAACATCAAAAACGTTTCCAATATCAATTTACTTCTTCACCAGAATTTATAAATTTTAAGGCAAAAGTAGTTTACCGATGCTGAAATCTCATCAACTGACAAAAAAGACAAATCAAGCAGAAAACACACATTGAGAGATGGCATAAACTCCTACAGAAGAGGCCTTTTGTGTTGACAGGGTAAACGTCTCCTGTTATGCAAATTCAGTCAAAATATAAAATTGGAAGTAGGACAAAATCGCTTAAACTACACATGAGACGAAAATGTCTTATATTATACGATCTAAAATTGCGAAAACATGTAGCTAGTGAGTGGAGACACACTGATCAGTGAATACGGGTAGTGGTCTCCTTCTAATCTTTGAAAACCTAGAATCATATCTGGTGTCTATATTGTTTTAAAGATCATATATATTCCTTAAAATTTATTTTCAACATTAGCATAGTTATAAAAACTTATAGCTGTTCCTGCGCATTTTTTTTTTTTTTTTTTTTTTTTTTCCATTGTTTTGAATTACGACCAATTAAATACAACTTCAAATATATTTTTTTGGTTTAAAGAGACTTAATATTTCGATGTTAGAATAAAGTACAAATTGCCATTCTGACTAAAATTAAATTAGACATTATTATAAATATAAAGATTTCCAATCTTTTAATTTGGAATAATGTCAATTACGGAATCGATTAATAAATCATTGAATTGACACACATTTGCTTATTCCGGTAATTTGAAAACTGCAATCAAATTGAGAGTTTTAATGAATGTAACGTTTAATGTATGTTTGAATAACCGGTATAATTTGTTATAAGAATATACATCACACGATTAGCTCGCTTTTTCCAAATAGTTTGATATCAATATTTCAAGGAAAAGAATTTAATTAAATTAAAAGTATACTCAATCATTCGTTAATTCAAAATTTAAGAGTTTTTGGCTGTCACCATGTGCAAATCATGTAATAAATTTGTATAATAGAAAGTTATCAAATATACAAGGATTGTTACTAATGCTATAAATTATCAGTATTTAGGTTCTACTGGTTAACTTGGGTTTTAATGAATGACGCATTAGCACAAGTGCTGTGTTAAAATTTTCATCAGAAATCAGTGAAGAAAGAATGCCAATGTTAATATCGTACTCATGTCAAGCGCAAGAAACCAAAACAAATACATTCTGATAAAAAAATGTGAGATACATTAAATTTTGTTTCATTGGTGGCCCAAGGCACTGACTATTCACATTTTGTTGGGGAAATCTTTTTAATGAATTGTTTGAATCTGAATTTCTTGAGAAAAAATTAATTGGTGTCGAAATGTAGTGAAAAGAAGAGCTTATTTCCGTTGCAAATAAAAAAGAAAAAAATAATTCTACATTGAGTTTAAAAAACATCTTGTTATTGTTTTTGAAAAGAAACGTTTGTCACGATAACAAAAAAAAACATGACCCACAAAAAAGAATGTTCGGTGTCTTATGGAATAAATATTTTGTAAAAAAAACAACTATCTAGTAGTTCGTATGATGAATGGTCGATTCCATGTTATATCAGACGCTTTCGATGTTGTTTGCAATAAATTAAACATTAGTTATTATGTATTGCTATTCAGTAATGAAAACTGATTGACCTATTTCTTGTCGATACTATTATTTTGGCATTGTGCAATGTCATGCTTTACTCGAGCTGTGTATGAATTGTTTACACTATTTCATAAATCCTTGCATGTGTTATCATTGACATTTAAGTGTGGTAAAATATGACTTATGGTTTAATCCACCATTTTCAGCATAAGGAAATGCCTGTACCAAGTCATGAATATGACAGTTGTGTCCCATTCGTTTGATGCGTTTGAACTTTTGATTTTGCCATTTGATAAGGGATTTTCCGTTTTGGATTTTCCTTGGAGTTCGGTATTTTTGTTATTTTACATTTTTATTTTGTAAGCTGTTGTGACTATTTAAACTACAACGTATCAGATTACTAACCTCTTATATTTGAGTGTTTTGAGTCTTTTATATTTTTATTAATTGTTTTTTTTTTTCGTCGATCTGATGAGACAAACCCTTCCCACATACGTTTGACTGTTTGGATAACTATCACAGCATTGTTTCAGGTCGGGGAAAAGCTTAAGGTTGAATTGTCTCAAATTCTACGGAACTCATGATGTTTTGCGTAATTTCTTGCTCATAAGCAAATAGTTCATATATAATTTGAAAACAGTTCAGGTTAGATGAATTGCTTTAGTTTTTTTTTATCTGTCGATTGTCATTAACTTGGTGGTATTTTGAAGATGTTATTGCTTTATGCCAGATATATACTTAACATACATCGAAACATTGCAAAAGATAATTAAAGCATTGCGTTTGGGTAATAGGACGAAAGGATACATAATAAGGAAAGTAATAACAAAACAATTATAACCGTAATAATAAAATTAGTTAATTGGTTAATCCGGGCTAGTCTAACTAATCTTTCGAAAAGTTACATTTTTGTAATTTCAAAGACATACAATCAATTTACATTTTTACTTTAGGTTGTAAAGATGCTGATTATTGTGGTGTGTTTATTTGCGTTCTGTTGGTTACCTCTTCAGATCTACAGCATTGTGTTTGCTGTATATGATGACGATATAAATCAGTAAGTATATGATTGAACATGTTGATTACTTTTATTTGTATTTCTGAGCTACAAACTGTTTTAGAAATGTCCCATTGTTCAAAAAGTAGTAATCATCTCTGTGTCAATACCTTTGATGTCATTTTTTAGAACTATCTTTTCAATGAAAGATTTAGCTTTTGTTGTATCTGTAAATTAATTATATGCTACATATTCTTCAACTAGCGATGATTCTACAATGTATGATTTACCCAAAATCGATTGCTTTTCATTTTCTCAGGATAAATAATCTTCAGCATTTTAAATTGTACGAAGGATGTATAGAAAAGATCATTTTATAAATGGAGCAAATTAAAAAAAAAACAGATACACTAAACTTGGATTTAATAGCTGTCCAATCAGCTGTATTTTTTTTTAAATCTATCTAAACGTTACACTTGTCTACACTTGTCTATTATTGAAAACTTATTCATCCTTCGTTTTGTAGATAACTGTTGGTTTTGTTTTGTTCAATATATGTCTTCTTGTCAAAATTACTTCATGTCTCCTTTATTATATATTGACGTCTCTATGGAAAGTAAAACAAAGAATACATAACAAGTGAAAGACATTCCAGAAAATGAGTGTTTAAAAAGGCTTGAGAACTTTTGATGGTTGTTGTAGTCGGTATTGCTGCCTCATTAACAATGTTCGTGACATAAAATAATTTTTTGTTTCTGTTTATTTAATCGGGAAAAATGATTGCTACCTTACTACATGAAGCATTTCTTTTTACAACAAGATGAATTTATGTGGTTTTTATAAGTGAGTACCTTTGAATATCATAGAAGCTAAAGTGTAAATCATTATAAAAAAAATATGTTGACATTTTAAGGAGGTTAGAAGAAACGTGTTCTTTTAATATCCGTGGAAGTATACGAAATATTAATCATCCTTTTGTAACTCAGGCACTTTTGGAATAAATGTGCTGTTGTAGGATCAACATTATGTTAGGTGGAATGTTACATCATCTCATACAATTTTGAAAAATAATAAAAACACTTACCGAGATCAATACTGAGGCAAGTAGAATACGAACATTGCTCTATCTAGTATATAACATTATTGGATCACTAAAAAAAGTTGTTAAAAATTGCGTTCATATCAGATAAGTGCAATTTCATCATTTGTAATTAAAACAATTAATAGATCCTTTTTTGTGCCAAAACAGCTGTTATATTTCAATTCAAATATATTTCTTCGATAATTTCCTGCTGCAATTTCTTTAGTTAAGACTTATATTTCCATTGTGTCCCTCTTGAATGTTTGGTTAATCACGAAAAATTATAAAAAGTATTATTCTTGCCCCCAGAATTGTAAAAGGATATGAAGAACGATGAATGATGTGGATAATGTTTGCCCCTCTCAGAAGGAGTTCTTATTCATACAAGCGTCCTTGACCAGGTTCTTCCACAAATTCAGACAAATTTGTTGATGTGACCTCTTGGTTGCCTAGCAATCGAATTCAATAATTCCCATATGCATTGGCATATTTTCTTCAAAAGTTTCTTGGTTCAGATTTTATTTGTCATTACCATTACCCGATCCTCTTGCCTCTTTTACATGACTATGACGTCATCAACTAGACTTATCATCGGATTTCTACTTCTATAAGCAACACGATTGGGTACTACATCTGCAGCAAGCACTATACCCCGTCTAGAGCACCCGATTATTTGATTGGGTTTGATATGCTCAGTCTTTAGCTTTCTATGTAGTGCTGTGCACTTGTTAGTCTTTTCGTTGTTTGTTTTGTTGTTGTTTCTCACCATTATGTTGTCTTGTTTTTTTCTAATATCTAAATTTTGTAAGTTCCCTTCGAATTTCGACCTCCTTATTCTATGACTTAATTGTATATTATGGTTATAAGAATACATTGTTAATTTCTATAAGATACTTTATTTCTGTTATTATCGGAAGTTTACGTACTTGTACTTATTGGTAACACGACGGGGTCATACACGTGGAGCAGGAACTGTTAACCCTCTATAAAGAACTGCATAGCACAAAATATATTTGCGTAGCAATTATAATATTTCAGGCATTCAATAAAATGACCTTTTGTCTAATTTTTTAAACTGTGTTTTGTATAAATATTTGAAAAGCTCTCACAGCAATATAGCATTTTTGTGCTTGTACGGCGTAAATCAATCATCAATAAATCTATCAACATTTCAAGCATTAACAGTACTAGTATTATTAATACAAAGATACAACTTTGCCCTATGTGTCAGTTTCAGACTGTTTTTTCCTGATAAACTATCTGTCAACATGTAAATATTAAATATGAAAATTATGATATTTATAGGGAAAAAACATACATTGATCACTTGCACACTGCAAAATTAACTTAAGTGTCACTCTAACGTCATAAACATGACTTTTGTAATAAATTACCATCATTTTTTCGTCCAGTTTTCGATGACATCAATATTACCGGAAATATTTTGGTTATTGTATTGTTTTTTTTTTTTGTTTTTTTTTTTTTTAAATTAATACTTGGTATCTGTTGTCTTCTTTTATTGAATTGATCTTGTTACAAACTATGCTTTTCAGTACGGCTAAAATAATAATTTCAAATTCTCAAATTCTCAAAATTTAAAGGTCTTAAGCAAAACATTTAAACACAAACTCTAAAACAGCATTACTCCTATCTTTCAAGTTAATTTCTGTGAACATTTGAACTATGCTAAAGAATTGACACATTTGATAGATCGATAATACTTTGTGCCGTATTGAATTGGCAGGACCTTATAGTACATTCTCCTTTGTAAAATCCTACATGGTGTTGATTTTATTACTTGAGATAAATACGGTAAACTCATATCTTCAAATTACTTAATAATTGATTTGTACTTTAATAGATCATACTTTCCTAGTGATGGCATATAAAGACATGTCATAATGTGCACAGCTGATTTAATGTTATCATTAAATGCATTTTTATTTTGAAATAAGTGTTATCAAAGGCGATTGTTGAATACCATACGTGTATAACGTAACTAAAAAGGTATAAAGGATTATACGACACATTTGATTTTTTTTAACTCAGTAAAATGTTAGAAAACAAAAACAGGTCGACGTTTATGCTATGATACTGTAAATTCAGATATTATTGCGTGGTTTTTATCGCGTATCAAAAATATAAGAAATTCCAATTTCGATACAAATATCTGTATGTTAATTTGCCTAAAATAATTGTCCATTATGAAAAAAACACAATAATACATGAACGGAAAAATTTCTGAATTCACAAAATATTCCATATGTCAAATATGCACGACAAAATGTGTATTCTGTAGTTTTGAATGTATTTTTTAAACGTTTTTATAGAAACCAATAAGAACCGCTAAAGTTAGGTTCCATAGCATCAATTAAAAAACAAAAGGGGAGAGCAAATTGGTACACTCCAATGTATCAGAGACAAAACTCCATTATAAAATGAAAGAAATTATATGACAGGTAATTACGATATTCAATAATAGATAAAAGGGAGGCGAAAGATAGCAAACGGACAACGCCATGGCAAAAAAAGGGAAAAAGGCGAAAGATAGCAAACGGACAACGCCATGGCAAAAAAAGGGAAAAAGGCAAATAGACAAACTACAGTACAAAACATAACATAGAAAACTACAGAATGAGCAGCACGGATACCACCAAAAGCCTAGGGTGATTTCAGGCGTTCCGGAATGGTAAGCAGATTCTGCGCCAACTGTGGCACCCGTCGTTTTGCTTATGATAGTACAAACCAAGTGATAAGTCTAATGCGGTAGGTCCCATTCGGGGGGAAGGAAACGGGATTGTAGTTACGACAATTAGAACATATTCGTTGTCATCTGTGGAACGGATATTCCATAACGGTCAACCAACTCTTGATGGCGTTCGTAAAATTTACAAAAGGATTATTTCAACTTCACCACTTAGAACTCTTGATTTAATAGCTTCCTTGTTAGCTGCAACTCTCTATCGAGGAAATCATGATAGGAAATACAAACCCGTGAATATTGTGTCAACTGGTACATATACTCGCTGCTAGAATGTTGCTACAAAGAAATGGAAAGTTTACAATTGGGAAGCTGAAATCATCTCTTTTGTTGTAAAGTTTTGTTTTTTAACCGACCCTTATTGTCAATTTCTAGATGTTAATCAAGATGTAAGGCAGATTTGATGGTGTCTGTTGTATCCTTTATCTCAAGTTCGATGTGATAAAATGCGTTGAACATAGTCACCAAATTTTGATTTTTTTAGTGAGAGAACATCATCTTTATAGATGAAAGTGAGGTTAGAGGATACTGTTAACTTCTTTTCTTTCTTCCTAATAAGTTCCTGTTTGAAGTAAGCTTATCTAAATAAAGGAAAACATCGACAAGAAAAGGAGCACAGTTAGTTTCCATGGGAATGCCGATTGTTTGTTGAAAACAAATATGTTGTCAATCAAGAAATCAAACATCTTGATAATGTCGGTTTCAGCGAATTATTTGTTTGAATCAGAGTTATATTTCCCTGCCTACAACAAGATACTTGTATGTTCGTTGGCCATTCTTTTTATGAAACAAAGCAGGACCAACTCTTTCAATTTCTCTTAGATTCGAATTGGGAATAAGAGTCTTTTATTGTTTCTAAAGTCATAATTCGTTCATTCCTTTCTTTTTTATTGATCTTTCCATCTTTTTAGAAGTCATTTTCTCTTTCTGGTTTATTATGAATGAAACCGATTTTAATGTCATAAACAATTTGATATTTGATTTGTTTTTGTTGTGATGAATAAGCATTATTGATAAAGTGTGTCACATACTATAGAATTTGTAGATTACACGACATATGTGATTTTCAATATTTCGCGTAAAGTTAAAATTATATTTTGTTTTAAGATGTCATATCAAAGTTGCAAAATAGCTTACGGCAATACATATAACAGGGTTTATTGTTCGATTGAGAATGACATGACAGATTTGAGTTATCTACATATAATGTATCATTATAAGCGTTTTGAACCAGTTATAATAGATGTAGCAGTCAAAACAAAATGATAAGAACGTGTTAAGATTTATTGTTAGTCATGTAACGTTATATAAAATATATACAGTTGGGTGCAGACCAAGCATTACATAAAGTAAACGCAGGTTAACGCCGCGTGCACATATTTCGTTAGTGAACTTCAATTTTCGCGTTTACTAGTACACGCGCGTTTACTATAATTACGTTAACGCGGTCAAAATGGAAATTTCTAATGTCTACCCGAGTAAACGGGCGTTTACTATGTGTCCGTTTAGTCAGTAGTAAACGGGCGTTTACTTCAGATTTCACAAGTTTATTTTTACGTGCACTTAAAAGTAAACGGGCGTTTACTACAGATTTCACAAGTGTGTTTCTACGTGCACTTGAAAGTAAACGCGCGTTTACTTTTCGCGTTAACTGATTGTGTAAATTAAGAAATAAACTTCGTGTTCATTTGTACATTAATTTTTAATTAAAACGACTTGTATCTTAATATTTTATGTACAAGTGTTTCAAACCAGAACAATTCAAAAACACTTTTAATTCGAAATATTAACTTTTATTAATTACAAAAAATCAGTTCCAACAATTTTCCCGAGTAGCAGATTTTCTATATTTTCTTTTCAAAAGTTACATGTACAAATATCGAGGCAAATAGAAAGGTTATCCAACACATCGGATAAATATTTGTATATGATGGGATATAAACATCATGGTACACGTTGCTTCGTTCCCCATTTTTAACAGTCTCTTCCTAAATATAACTCTATGCATTTAATACATTGATTTTTAATCGTGATTCACCTTGTTTGCCTTGGATTTACATGATTTAAGATTCTGTTTTGCCAAATTTTCGATCGAGACAGACTTATCCATAACGATTATAAATGATATCTGGGACGTCCGAAAAATATACTCGTTCTGAACATGAAAAAAAATATTTGCCCCTGGACATTAGGCTACAAACGAAATCTATCAACTGCCATAATATATTAACAGTACACTTTTCCAAGAAGAGAACTTCTTATACTTTGGATACATGTTAACTCGTACTTTTCATTATAAACTACTTTAATCAGTCATGTCAGTGTTGGATGATGCCGTTAAATATTAT